TCTGGAATTTAACAAAACAACACATTATGGCAGAAGTGACAAATAAGATTTGAGTTGAAAGTGAGCAAACGACAAATGGGCTGTATATTAATGATATAGCATTGTATTACGACAAAAACACATTAGACTATCTTAAAAACGCACTTTAGATTTCTTATACTATTGTAGACATGAAGGTTGTCCGACTTTTTATTGGCAACGTAACCTAAAAATTATTCAATGAGAGAATAGTATCTAAGAAATACGTTTCTTATATTGGACTATTCAGTTATATTCTGAAACTATTACAAAAAATCAGAATTACAAAATATTCTTTATGTCTACGACTGTACTGACTTTTATTAAAAATTAAAGTTGTACAATAAGCAAGCATGCACACAATATCCATTATTACTAGCACAAAACTCCATTTTATGAGCAAACTTGCTTATTAATCGACTGAATAGTTTCTTTGTCCAATTATTGCTTAGTTCTCGGTCAATAAATGAGTTCAGATATTGCGCATTTTTTGTGCACAGTAACTGCAGACAAAGCGTTACATCTTGATTGGGATCCCAACAGTTTTATTTGTCAGTTACTGGGCAAACGTTAATATAACTGTTCAGTAACCGCTTACAAACTGCGTGAAATTTCTACCAGGGTACTGTTTAGAAACTTGGTAGAAAATATTGGCTATTTTTTCATGGCCAATTATTAGTCAGAAACTAGGCTTGAAAAAATAGTAAGTAAATACTGGACAGTTTCTGTCCATTAAAAATTCTAAATATTTCTACTCAATATTTCTTGGGTAGTTTTTTGTCAAAAACTATGCAAGAAAAATAGTAAGTAAATACTGGACAGTTTCTGTCCATTAAAAATTCTAAATATTTCTACTCAATATTTCTTGGGTAGTTTTTTGTCAAAAACTATGCAAGAAAAATAGTAAGTAAATACTGGACAGTTTCTGTCCATTAAAAATTCTAAATATTTCTACTCAATATTTCTTGGGTAGTTTTTTGTCAAAAACTATGCAAGAAAAATAGTAAGTAAATACTGGACAGTTTCTGTCCATTAAAAATTCTAAATATTTCTACTCAATATTTCTTGGGTAGTTTTTTGTCAAAAACTATGCAAGAAAAATAGTAAGTAAATATTGGATAGTTTCTGTCCAGTAAAAACTCTGAAAATACTGTTCAGTATTTTTGGGTCAGTTATTTATCAGAAACTACAAGAAAAATGGTAAGGAAATGCTGTGCATTTTCTGTCCAACAAAAAATCGGAAATTACTGACGAATTTTTTTGAGATAGTTTCTGGCCAGAAATTAAATAGTAAAAATGATAAGTAAATATTTTGTAGTTTCTAGACAAAAAAAACTTGCATAGTATTAGATAGTATTTTTTGGTCAATTCATAGGCAAAAACTAGGAAAGAAACATTAGTAAGTAAATTCCACATAGTCTTCACCACCGCTTCCACCGCTGTCGCTGTCGTCGTCAGTCGAGCAGAAGTCGATTTGGCAAGGCAAAGATGACAAGAATGAAAAATAATAAAATAAAATATTATATTAAAGATTAAAAAAATAAAAAAAAATTATAAAAATTTAATTTTAATAAAATTATTATTTTGATACATATATAGTTAAATTATTTATAATTATTAATAAACTGAAAAAATAAATACTGATCAGAAATCGATAAAAAAATGCTTATAAAATAGTCAAAAACTACATAGAAACTAGTAAAAAACTGCTTAGAAACTGCTAATAAACAGATTAGATACTGATCAAAATCTAGTTAAAAACTGATCTGAAACTGTCTAGTTCAACCGTCCAGTTTTTGACGAAGTGAGTGTCGACCAAACCAGTCAGTTTCTAGCTAAGAAAGCTGGCTAAAAACTAGCTAGTTACCAAAAATTTCTGGACAGTTACTGGTCAGAAACTGGATAAATTTCTATTCGGGTATCTATCGATCCGCGTCTGTCGCTCGCTCTCTCGCCGAAAGGTTAAAAAATATACGAACTGGAAAGCGTGACCGGCACTCCGCGTGCATCTTCCCCGCGAGTTATCACCGATCGCTTTTCTCTTCGATAAAGTAGCACATACATGGACATTTTTCGCGAGTCACGCTCACACACGCGGTCTCGTTAATTACTACACTATATCGGTCCCCCGGTATCTCTCGTCTTTCGTCGTCGTCGTCATCGTTGTGTTCCTCCGTCGTCGTTCTCCTCTCGATCGTGATGAGAGTGGAAATCAAGTGAAATGCACGGACAGACTTTCTACGTGCTCGGTACTCGTTCTTAAAGCGGCCGCATTTTATTATATCGACGAGAACGTGATAACGCGCGAGATCGTCACGCTTGTTCCCCAATGTCGTCGTTTAACGACGTAACACTCTCTAATTCAATTTAATATTTTGCGTCGCCAACATTTTTAGAGCCCGTGAACTTTCGCACAAAACTTTCACTTTATAGCAGCAGCAGCTGTCAATCCGCGTGTAAATATCAAAATAGCAACGTTAAATTGCGAGACTGCTGAGGAAGAACAAAAAATTATTATCACAAATAAATCTTTGTCTCAGGATTCCGTGATAGGATCTTATCGATTTATCGATCTTAGGATTTATTAATTATATCTTGCAAAAAATGTGCCTTTGCTGAGAAAAAAGCATTTAATTTATTTATAATCGCGCGATACTTCTTATTGACGTTATTAACTAACTTCAACGTTGTTAATTTTTTTCGAAAGGTTTCATCCAGCGTGACGGAAATTTAAATATGAAAATGTAAACCGTTTACAATAATTCACCGTGCAAAATAATTGTCATAAATCATACTGTTGATTGTTTTTGCCTGTAACAGCAATTAGCTTTGCGCAACTTTATGCCGATGTTGAGAAAAAATCTAAAACGAAAACAGAAGAAACTAATTTAAGGGTATTTTGCACTGTTTTTCTATTTGCTTACATAAAATCGCAAATGTTTATACACAGAATGAAAGTACATTAAAAAGTACATTAAAAAGGTCTAAAAATAAGAAATAATTATTCTATGGATACCAATAACATATTGTGTGCTTGTATTAATATATACATTTTTATATTGAGAAAAAATTTCTTTCAAATGAGGTATATTTTTTCTTAAAATACCACGTTGTTTTTTACGTAATCAATTGTTTATTCTATTTAAACAAAAGAATCCAAATTAAAATAAATGTTATTAGTATCTATACCTAATAAATATATTTTTTTAATTTTCTCTATATTTTTTCTCAGTATATGAATAGATGATGGAATGCTTCATGTTACACAAAAAATTTTTATGTATAAAAATTGCTTTCTATCTTCTTAAAAAACGTTAAAATAATTCAGTGATTTTAATTTTTAACCTACGATGCGAACGTCGTCTATTTAGCGTATCTTTGAACTTAATGCTTTTTCAACTCTGCTTTATCTCTTAATTATACTAAATAATGTTAGTATTATAATATGTGCGAGTCAGGAAGGACTTGGCAAATATATACATTGAGAAAGAAATACTTGAAAATTTATTTATGTGGAATATAAAGTTTACTCACAGAAATAAACTTTATATCCTACAAATGTATTTTTCGAAGTATTTTTTCTTAGTATAGAATCGAATATTAACTGGAAAGTCGATCGATAAATTAAACGCCAGATGTTAAAAGTATGACATTAAAGATATGGCGTTAGAAATAGAAATTGCTCGAGTCTCAATGCGAGCTATTCAATGGCAGGCGAGAGAGTAGTCTTGAAAACCCCCACGCAAGAATCTTTGATCGATAGTGTGCGAATGCCGTTTCTCTTGTTGGCGTTCTTTCGAAACCCAGGCGTGCTCGACCTCGGTGAATTACATCACCTGCTCTGAGTTTAGAAGTGCATCGATCTCGCGACCATATGATGCCCAATGTTTACCAGCTTATGGCACGATCCTACGATGCGTTCACCGCACCGTGCGCACCGCAATTGTGACTTTAAGTAAGGTCAACTGCTGCATTTGCGCTCGGCCAGCCTCGCCGTCATGGCGCTGACCACGTTGCACTCGTATTCGCGACGAATCGTCTATTTTTTTCGATCAAGCGTAATCCGTCAATTTTCGATCGGCGGCTCTTTCGCAAATATCTTTTTAACTCTTTATCGTCCGAATTATTCGTTGTTAAATTTCGGAGACGCTCAATATGAATATGTACTGAGAGGAATAAAAAATTATTAGATCCGATAAAAAATTATTAAACGGATATTTACGATCAATTTGAGTAGGGAATCCGATTAAATCGGGTATGTTCGATCATAATAGCATTTTATCAAATAAACCGATCAAAAAATTGAGAACTGAAATCTCTCATCGGAGTTCCGTAATCGAATATTAAAAAATTGATCGGATTTTTATCGGAAATATCCGTTTGTTAGTTTTTTAACAGATAATTTCTTTCAGAATGTATATTATCGCGAATAATTACCGCAGATAATTACTGGATTATCTTTCAAATTGGTGCATTATCGCGCCACAATCATCTAATTTTCCAACTAATTTTCACTAATGACTAAAAATATATGTAGTTAAAGTGGTAAAAGACTTTGTTCAGTTTAACCTAATGCATAAACACACACAACAGCAAATATCACAGGCAAACACAACGGCAAATATCATTTACCGTATCACACGTGATCATCCACCAATTTTCTTTAATTAACAACTCAAAATTTCACGTAATTGTGGTTGTAAAATGGTCACGTAAACGTGGTTGTGAAATGATAGAGGAATTTCGTTCAGTTTGATGAATTCTATCTGCACACAACACGGGTGTGTCATTAATTGTCAGACACTTTATATATACGTTATGTATTTGTTGTTTTAGTTGAAAGAAGTGAACCAAATCCGATTCTTAAGAATCAGGAATTCCGTTTCCTTCAAGCAAAATGTGTTTAATTGTGTCATTGTCGTGTCAATTTCTTTGTAATCTTTTTTCCCCCACATAATCACATATTTTTATGTATTTTGTAGGTAGGTTGTGTGACGAAGGATGGCGGAAGCCCATTCAGCTGTAGCGTTTAGCTTTTCCATAACCCACGAAGGATGGGATGTGAATTTCGATCGAGAAGTACTTCACTTGGTGTGGCTTTCCGGTGTACGATCCTGGAAGAAGAGATTCTTCAGGTTCCAGGTGAGTCCTTATCTTAATGTCCTTATATTAATATAATGAGTCCGTATCTTACAACATTCGAAGCATTATATTGATATCGGCTATCAACAAACATATTATTTCCAGAACAACCTGAAGAGCGGCGTTTATCCGGCTTCCTTGGAGAGTTTGTGGATCACTGTGATTATAGTAACGGCGATACACTTCGCCGGTTATAAGGTCCCGTATGACCTCGTCGGCAAAGTTTCACCGTATCTTTCCGAGTAAGTCCGTGTAAATTTCCATATTTTCACTAATCGCGCGTAACGCGGGCCATGATCTCTCAGCGATTAATCATTGTTCTCTCCTTCCACGACAGTTCGTCGGTTCTCGCGCATCTGGCAGGATCGTTCGTAGTCGGCCTGTTCCTGTGGCTGGCGGTTATATACGCGATTCGCTATATTCTGAAAGTATTGCTCATGTACAAAGGGTGGATGTACGAGACGAGAGGTAAAGGTCGCAAAATATCGCGGTTCACGCGACTCTGGTTACTCCTGGTGAAGATGTTCTCTGGTTGGCATAAGCCTATGCTGTACAGTTTTCAAGGATCACTGCCACGATTGCCGCTGCCATCCGTATCCGACACTATGGCACGGGTTAGATTCACGTTTTGTAAAATCCTATCTTAAGAGAAGAAGCTCTCCTTTCCTTTTTAAGATTAAGATAAAAGTGTCAATGCCCGAATACGTATCTAATTTTGGGCATTCTTATTGTTTTGGTCTTTAGATACAAATATTTAACATAACATAAAATATTTAATATAACATAAAATATTTAACTTTTAACATAAAACATCAATATATACATATATATTGAATAGATACATATATACATATAGATACATATAGATACATATATACATATATACATATAGATACATATAGATACATATAGATACATATATACATATAGATACATATATCTATTCAATATATATTGAATAGATACATATATTCTATATTGAAAGTTTAATTATATTTGCACTTAAAGACCAAAACGAATGTTCAGGATTAGGTATATGTTTAGAAATTGATATTTTTAGCTAATCATAGAAAACGTGTTATACTTTTTTAATATTATCTAGAACCGAATTTTTTCTTGTGAACTTTATTCAATGTGAATATTTAAAGTTATAACACACTGAGAGAAATTACCCGATAAAAAATTTACAAACGAATATTTTCAATCAAATTGTATGTCTGATCAGGATATCCGATTGAATTGGATATTTCCGATTATAATGGCATTTTATCAGATAAATGGATCAAAGAATTATGAATCGAAAATTATGAATTTCTCATCGGATGTTTCCTGATCGGGAAACATTCGATACAAAAATTCATCGGTATTTTCGGAGCGGGAAATATCTATTTGTTAATTTTTTACCGGATAATTTTTCTCAGTGCATGATATGTAAGTATTATGGAGCTTCTTCATTTTCTTTGATTACAATTCAAATTTAAGCATGAATGTAAATATTCGCATTATTCATACGTATAAGTGGAAATTATTATCACCATTTACGTGTCATTGTTATCACCATATAATTCACATTGTTCTCATCGTTCTCTGTCTGTCATTGTTAGTCATGGAACAATGTATTTAAATATTATGTATTTAAATAGTATTTGAGGAGTGTACGACCGTTAGTGGACGACGAGAATTATACTCGCATGGAGAGACTGGCCAACGAGTTCCAAAATGGTATCGGAAATAAACTACAGCGTTACCTGATCCTCAAGTCCTGGTGGTCCACCAACTACGTGTCCGATTGGTGGGAGGAATATGTTTACCTGCGCGGAAGATCGCCTCTGATGGTCAACTCGAATTTTTACGGAATTGATGCTATCCTCACGCATCCTACGACTGTGCAAGCCGCGCGCGCCGCATCCGCTATACATTCTTGCTTGCAGTACAGACGTCTTATCGAACGTCAGGAATTAGAGCCGGTTGGCAATCCATTCCTTTATTGTCATATCCCAATGCTCCATTTACAAATGAGACTTATGCTACAAAAATAACATAATTATTTTCAGATTTTGGTGCAAGGATTAGTGCCGCTGTGTTCTTGGCAATATGAACGCCTGTTCAACACTACGCGAATTCCGGGAGTCGAGGTTGACAAAATCGTACATTACCAGGATACTAAGCATATCGTAGTATATCATAAAGGCAGATACTTCAAAGTTCTCATTTACTATAAAAATAGGATTCTTCAAGCTTGTGAAATAGAAATGTGAGTCCCTTAGCGATCAATAACAAAATTTATTGCACATGTATATTATAACGGTAATATCGTTTTACAGTCAGATTCAGCAGATTTTGGATGACCAATCGGCACCGTCAAAAGGGGAGGAGAAATTAGCTGCTCTGACGGCTGGCGATAGAACCGCCTGGGCACAAGCTAGGCAAGAGTTCTTTGGGAAGGGTGTAAATAAAGTTGCTTTAGACTTAATCGAGAAGGCTGCATTTATAGTCGCTTTGGATGATATACCTTATGAATACGATCCAGTACGTTATCCAAAATAAATACGTGTCTTGAATAAATCAATTTGCAAAATGATGAAATTGTTGTAATTCTGCGTTTTAGGAGCATCCGGAAAAGTTAGACAATTATGGTAGGATTCTATTACACGGAAAAGGATACGATCGATGGTTCGACAAATCTTTCACTCTTTGCGTCGGAAACAATGGAAGAGTGAGTAATACATCTTTGCAACCGTACAACCTAGAACCAATTAGTATTAGCTCTCTTTGTTATTTCCATTACTTCATAAAAATGATTCATGTTTACAGATCGGTTTCAATGCCGAGCATTCCTGGTGAGTATGTCTTAATTGAACGTGTAACGCGAAATTTTAAAAACAAATCGTCGATTTTCTTTTTTTGTAAAAATTTTTCTTTTTACCGTTACTGCGTAAAAATATTTCACATAAATACGCACTCTCCTCTGCTTTACATCGAGACAAACATAGAGCGAATATTACAATCAGACCTACATTTTAAGTAATATATAAAACAAAAGTTCCATCGCATATAATATTATGTGTAAATTAAAACACCACATATAATGATAAGTAATGAGCAGGGCAGACGCTGCGGTCATGTCACACTTATGGGAATACGTGATAAGTACGGACTTCCTCAACGAACAGTAAGAATCAATTTACAAATCATATATCGTTTGCATATCTATCTCTCTTCTATTTTCAAAAGATAACTTGTATGTTACTGCCTACTTACTGTGCGTTAAGAATTCTATTTCTAAAATTAATATAGATTGTAATGCATAAATGTTGCTTCTTTCAAGTAAATCTTCTGAAATTCGGAGTGCTCTTGTAGCAAAATTATCTTTAAAGGTCTGTGCGAGGTTGGTGCTATGCCTATGTTTTAGTCTCTTTAATTCCTACAAGTTACTACTTCTCTATTGGATACTTCCGATGAGCGTTGCTCTTTACATTTCTTCTCACAGTTTAATATTTCTTTCTGATATACTTATTAGGGCTGATGCACCAGTGATGGGAACTCTATGGGAATTTATTATGGCTACTGATAACGAGATTGGGTAATAATCTGCATTGTTACATTAGGGGAATAATATTTGATGGATTACTAACTATGTAGGACATTACTCCTAAAGAATCATTTCTATTTATTGTAATTTAATTTGTTGCAATTTTGGATGTATTGTGTAATCCTTATTGTACAGTAGTAATTTCTCATCTTTTAGCACTTTTGCATGATAAACTCATTAATGTCTTTCTAATGTGTGGGTTAACGCGTGATTGTTACTGGAAATAAGTATTATATTGGTTAAGGATCAGCTAATGTAGGCAGTATTTTTGTAGAAGTATTTTTTATTTGCATAGTTTTGTTGCATGGTAAAAGTTGCATGATAGTTTATTTCGTAACTTAAATGTCCAGTGCAATATGTATAATTGTAATATGACTGTGGCATAAAGAAACTTGATTTGTGCTTGTTGTTTTGGTTTTGTTGAAAAATAAGTATATATTATTCAGATACAAGGACGGCCACAGCGTAGGTACTCCAGAATTTACACCTCCCGCACCGAGTCGACTGCAATGGGATCTGAACGCCGAGTGTATCGAAGTTATTGAAAAATCCCATCAAGTAATAATAATTGTAATCTCGTTTCACTTAAGGGGAAACCATCACGATAAAAGCAAAAAAAGATCTTAGAAATTCTTTTTTAAGTAACAATATATATTTTTTAAATAGTCACTTTACATATATTTAGTCCATGTTTTAAATAGATTTTTATGTTGTGACGAATTAGGTTTTGCAAGATAAGCCCTTCATCGAGAAACATAATCACACTGGCTGGCTGATTGCTTCTAAACGGTTAATCTGTAGTCAATGAAGTAAAACATTTCAGAAACTATATGAAAGTAACTTTATTTGTACGTAGGAGTTATAAAAGGAGTTTTGTTTTCACAAAATGGCAAATTTCATAAGAAAATATTATAAATTTTCGACGAAAATCGATCCATTTTTTAAATATCTTTCCGTGAGTTAAAAAAAAAAGAAAAATCCATACGAAAAGAATTCGATTACGAAGAATTAGCCGTAAGGTAGATATCAATCGAATCAATAACTTCTTCTAAATATTTTCCGGGCCAGCTTCAAAAAGGTAGTTTTGAAAGATTAAAGTACCTTCTCTACGCGCTCCAACAACGCTTAAAAAATTCTGCTCTAATTTCATTAATTTTCAAGCAATCTTTAAACTAATTTTCCAAAGCTGTATAATCTTTAGAAAAATGCAATAAAGAAAATCGATTTTTTGAAATTTCTCCCAAAGTGTTTCCCCTTAAGTACGATATATTCAGCAATATATTATTCACATATGATTACATAAATTTATTATTCAACAGGTTGCACATAATTTACTGAATGATGTTGAGTTGCGTATTTACGTGCACAATGCTTACGGTAAGGGCTTGATGAAGTACCATTCCATATCGCCGGACGCCTTCATACAAATGGCATTGCAACTGGCATACTACCGCGACGCCTCCAAGTTCAATTTGACTTACGAAGCTTCTATGACGAGATTATTCCGGGAAGGCAGAACGGAAACAGTTAGACCGTGCACTATCGAATCCGCAAAGTGGGTGAAATCGATGGAGGATAATACAACGACGGTAAGGACGCAATAAATTATCTGAAGTTAATATAGATTATGACTGTTTAACATATTTATTTTCTAATATAGACGGAAGAAAAAGTAAGACTGCTGATGGCTGCGGTGGCAAAACATCAGAGAAGCTATCAGGACGCTATGTGCGGCAAAGGGATAGACAGACATTTGTTTTGCTTATACGTAGTATCAAAGTACTTAGAAGTAGATTCACCGTTTTTAAAGGTACTTATCTCATTTCTGTTATATATCGTGCACGTAAAATTCAATTGGCGATTCTGACAAATGATTTTGTGCAATCTGTTCATTCAAGGAGGTTTTAAGCGAGCCATGGAGACTGTCAACGTCGCAGACTCCACATGGCCAAACTTCAAGATTGGACTTGAAGAAGTACCCCAACTGCATTTCAGCGGGTGGCGGATTCGGTCCTGTGGCTGACGACGGTTACGGTGTTTCTTATATAGTCGCGGGAGAAGATCTTCTATTCTTCCATGTCTCTAGTAAACGAACTTCGTCGAAAACAGTAAGACAATCGATAATTTATAATTTTACTAGTAGTTAACTATCAATTACTTATGTTTGTTTCTTTCTGATCTTTATTAAACATCATATTTCGTATTTATAAGATGTACACGCAGCTATATTTATTTATTAATTATGAAATCGTTCAAATATTTTCAGGATGCTGCCAGATTCGCGAAACAGATAGAGAAAGCACTTGATGATATGAAAAATTTGCTAGAACAGAAGAAGAAAATACATCAGAAGAACGGATCTGCGTAACTTATTCGTTATTATAAACAATAGTCTCAAAAAGGTGGCTATAAGCTATATAGTAAAACAGAATTTATACCTCTGAATAACTTCTTTCTGGTGTATGCAGATTGAGAACGATGTAAATATAATTTAATATATTTACATAAAAATAATTTATAATCTCTAATAGTTTTTTATATAGACGTTTATTCTAGTAGATGGAAAAATAATGGGCTCAAAATTCAAAATGCAGCATAGACAGATGCAAGTAGAATTATATTTTTACAGTCATTTTCACATTCGTTATATACGTATTATCATCAAATAGCATTTTTATTATTAGATAATTATACTTGAACTGACAATTTATGCGCGATTTATTAATATTGCACAGCAAAAATGTGCACAAAAGCACAAGTATAAAATTTTCATTAGTTGCTGTACAATACTGCAGACTTGTAAAACAATTTGATATTAATGTTATATGATTGAAGAAACTTATACAGATGGTCACTTATTAACATGTAATTTTTATCGTAAATAACATTGGGTCGTGTATACACAAATGAATTATGCCTACGATATTTGTGAGTGAGAATTTTAAAAATATGGTTATGGAAATATCAGTTTTTTTTTCTCGGATAAAAGTTTTCCAAACGTTCACCTTTGTAAAGTTGGCTATTTGCATAAGATTTTGCTGTAAAATTACAATTTATAACAATTTAGATCGATATTGCGGACAATGCAAAACAAATTCCGATTGCCTTATTCCCACTAACTAATATTATCTGTTATAGTTGAATATCGAGAATATTATCGTAGCATATTTCATGAAAGCTACTTATTTTATCACAACATATCAAATCAAACAAATAACTCGTAAATCTTATTAGTTACGGAAAAACTTGAAAATTTTTAGGTACGTGCGATATAAAAGAGTATGTTACCAAAATTAGGTCATACATATATTTCAGATAAACGAAAAAATTTTTATCGTCACAATGAGCAAATTATAACACTCATTGCATACCTACTGCAAATATATAACGTGCAAATTTCATAATTTCATCTGCGTACTATACAGACTACATCTCGTATTGTATTTTAATATCAAGTAAGAGCGCATTGATCTGTAATGCAACTTGTGCATATAAAGAAAGAATTTTTCTCGGAGAATATCGACACATAAGTGATAAATAAGTATCGCTTGTACTTTAATATATGAGAAGATATTTTGATTTGTAAGTGGACATGCATTGTCTTAAGAATAGCCGTAATTTAGGAAATTATATTTTTTGTATGTCTTATTGCATTGATTTTGCGTTGATAATAGCTCTTTAAGATAAATGCATACTTCCAATAATTTAAATAAGTTGTATTTCGGAAGGTTGTTTTCGTATTCAGATTTCTCAATAATGCTACTTTTCAATCACACGTTTCTAATATTTGGAGGAAATTATATTTTGTAAAATTTTTCTGGATATTCGAATATTTTATTGAGTATATTTTCCTTTTAAGAAGTTATTGAATTTCTAGTTCTCGAGTTTCGAGAATGTTTGATTTCTTAAAGTAATGCATGTCCATCGATGTGTATCAATCTCGTGTGACATCTAACGAGACACAGGTGTGTAATTGTGAATATGTGATCAGTCTAATTTCTCGTGTAAGCAAACTTCAAGCGATGCCATAAACTGATATGTGCAACCTATCAATGCAAAATGTTTTAGTTGTAAGTGATTTTATACTTAGGTTAGAATCTTATAGCTATATTCTCTATGATACGTTTGTTAAGGGTATATATAGAGAGATAACGGTGCTTTTAAAACTTGTTATTACCTGGTGGTGTTATGATTAAACTTTACTAAGTTTTAAACCTAAGTGCAAGATGAAAATGCAAGAAGAAAAGATATATATATATATATATATATATATATGTGTGTGTGTGTGTGTGGGTGGGTGTTTGTGTGTGTGTGTGGGTGTTTGTGTGTGTGTATATATATATATCTTTTTTGTATACTTCATTTCTTCTTTGTACATTTCATAAAGTTGTGCAAACAACTATAGACTAGATATGAAATTGTACAATGAACTTCTGTGTGTTACTTCTAATAGAAGGACTTTGATCATCATTGTAAATAGAAGCGGTTTTTACGCTAAGAATTTACAATGGACAATTTTTTTTTTAAAGATCTATAAAGTATACTTATCCAAATGAAATATTGTATGTATGAAATATTTAAATATTGGCAACAATAAGAACTATGAAATGTCTATGAAACATTTGAGGTATTTTTATACAATATTGTTAACCGAATTAGAATTCATTTTATACATATATTATTCATTGGCACATTTATATAGAAATTTTCTCTGAATTTTTACAAAAATATGTAATCTTGTAATTGTAACAATGAGTGCTATAATAAATAAAATTACGATCGTTTACATCAATAACAATATATATATATATATGCTTTCTGCATTTGTATGTGTTCACTATAAGAAAAATACTAGATTCTTAAAATATATACATCTAGAATGTATATTAATATAAACACAAAAATATTATATATATATACATGTGTATGTTGTAGCTTATGACTTTTTAACAGTATCTGTTTTATTTAGTGGTGGTTGAATTTTTATTTTTTCTTGTTTAAGTGACCGGTGCTTGTTTGATATCACTGCATTTCGTAATGTTGAATGAAGAAATCTTTTATTAACAGTTTCTTTAGGTTTTACCCATCCACTAGGTCCCATTATTTCTGCTCTTCGTGCACCAAGTTTGGCTTCTTCCAATAAAGCTTCCACTGCAAGTCTGCAAAATATATTTACATACATTAATATAATAATAAAAATACCAACAGAAGAATAACAAAAATATTGCTGATGGATATTGTGATAAATAAACTACATCAGGAGAATCTATTTTATAAGTCAATATTATTTCATATGGAATGATAATATAATAAATCAAAAAGCAACCATTATTAAACCTTTTATTTATACACAAAAGATCTGTTTAAATACATAAAAAACAAAATATAATATCTAATAAATAATGTCATACATTTAAGCTAACATGATGGTAACAACATGATGATTAATTATTATTATATATATATATATATATATATATAAATGACACAAAATTATAAAACTACCTGTTCAATGTCTCATCATCCATATTTGCTTATTTGGGATTGTTATCCTAGAAAAACTGAAACAAGAGAAAATAATGAAACAATAAAGTATAACTAATAACCAAAATATATATCCAGTAAACACTAACTAAAAGTAATATTATATCAATGTAATAATTTCTTACTCTGCAATATAAGTGCAATATAACAGTATCGTTAAATAGAAAATTATAACATTGATGTAAAGTTAGGTGAATTTACTGAATAGGTTATTCAGTAAATGTGATACATTGCATTGACAATACATTTATTGCTCTGTAAGCGTATATAATAAACTAATGTTCCGAAAAAAAAGTAAAAATTATCATACCGATCCACAGATAAGATATTTTAGCAATAATAACAGTAATAACGTCGATTATAACAGATAGCTGGAGTAGGTAGCTTATTATTACTTCATGTAGGTAGATGTCGATCCACTACGTCACTAACTATAAATATATTTAATTTATAAAAATAATCGTATATTACATTTTATTCAGGACAAAAATTCAAGTATAATTCTCTTAGCAACAACGCATTTACTGTACGTTTCAACGGCTTCCGAAAGACGTTTGATAGCTGAGAACAGCTGACGATTGCAACATGGCTCTTTTTACAGCTGATTCAAGCATGAGAAAGGAAATATATTTTGGCTGAACGCTGCATACTCTTAAGTTAAAATTAGGGAGAATTCACACCTTAGCAAAAAAGTGGAAAACTGGAAAGTAAAATCCAATCAGAACTTACGCTCGTAGAAAAGCAGAATGTCGACTATCTGACTACTAGCGCAAGTTTTAATTGACTTCTGCTTTTCTATTTTTCAATTGTAGAATGTCAATTGTAGAATGTCTTGTCTCTTATTCTTATTCATACTTACATTCCTAAACAAATTTTTTTTGTTATGTATGATGTGTTTTTTTGACTAGAGGTATTAATATACATTTATATATTAAGGAGTTTTTGTAATACAAGGCTTTATTAGATTTCAATAGATGGCTGAGTGCATGTAACTTTAATGACCCTACGCCATTGCTCCACAATCCCAGTTTTTGCAATACTGTATCTCAGATAATGCTAAAGTACGTTCCGATATTCAGTGTCAATACTTCAAATCTATAGAATATGTAACACAAACTATAGAGAGCGGTGCACTTGGACACGGTGCATTTGGACACAGTCAATCACAGCACCGTGTGATTAGAGACATTTGTAGGGTCCCTTGGAACAGCGACTTGTGATTGGACTGTGTCCAATTGCCCTGTGTCCAATCTGTCCTATACTTTATTGTTTCATTATTTTCTCTTGTTTCAGTTTTTCTAGGATAACAATCCCGAATAAGCAAATATGGATGATGAGACATTGAACAGATAGTTTTATAATTTTGTGTCATTTATATAAATATAATAACAATTGTTACTATCATGTTGTTACTATCATGTTAGCTTAAATGTATATAACATTATTTATTAGATATTATATTTTGTTTTTTATGTATTTAAACAGGTCTTTTGTGTATAAATAAAAGGCTTAATAACGGTTGCTTTTTGATTTATTATATTATCATTCCATATGAAATAATATTGACTTATAAAATAGATTCTCCTGATGTAGAGTATATTTATCACAATATCCATCAGCAATATTTTTGTTATTCTTCTGTTGGTATTTTTATTATTATATTAATGTATGTAAATATATTTTGCAGACTTGCAGTGGAAGCTTTATTGGAAGAAGCCAAACTTGGTCAAACACGAAAAGCAGAAATAATGGGACCTAGTGGATGGGTAAAACCTAAAGAAACTGTTAATAAAAGATTTCTTCATTCAACATTACGAAATGCAGTGATATCAAACAAGCACCGGTCACTTAAACAAGAAAAAATAAAAATTCAACCACCACTAAATAAAACAGATACTGTTAAAAAGTCATAAGCTACAACATACACATGTATATATATAATATTTTTGTGTTTATATTAATATACATTCTAGATATATATATTTTAAGAATCTAGTATTTTTCTTATAGTGAACACGTGATATACACCCCAAACTATATATTCGCAGTACTGGTAGTGGCCTGGTTTACATCCTGCACTTGATACGCGTACTAAATAGTAACTTTCTATTAAATAATCTTAAAATTGACAATGCATTAATATTGACAATCAACGACGACGCATTCAATCGATATATCTTCTTGATGAGTATTATACCAGCTTAATATACTGTTGTTTATATACATCATCGATATTAAGATTATTTAATAGAAAGTTAATATTTAGTACGCGTATCAAGTGCACGATGTAAACCATTGGTAAAATCAAGTCTAAAAATAGGGTGTATATCAGTTAGATACGGGGCAATTGGACACAGTCCAATCACAAGTCGCTGTTCCAAGGGATCCTACAAATGTCTCTAATCACACGGTGCTGTGATTGGCTGTGTCCAAATGCACCGTGTCCAAGTGCACCGCTCCCCTAAAAATAGCGGATTGGATGCAGACTAACGGTCACTGTTTTTATACAGTGAAAATAGATACAAAATTCCTCTACAAACATGGCCACGACAATGTACCTCTCTTGCCCCTTAAGGCCAATTTATGATGACCGTAACCATTTACTTATGCTATAATCCATAAGAAATTGACTAATTGCAGTCGATTATTACAAGAATAATAATACTAGGATTGGTCCATTTTTTATGGATTACAGCATAAGTTGGTTAAACGACAGTTTCCCGAAAAGTGAAGGGGATAATGTTGGTATCAAGGAAAATCTCTACACGATATAATTTAAAGATTTGTTCTTTGTAACTGCACTGCTAAACTGTGCAATAAATTGAAGTGAGACAAGTATATGTTTTCTCACTCTAACCTTTTGCATTAATTCAGCAGTGTGTAGTTACAAAGAACAGATCTTTAAATTATATCGTGTAGAGATTTTCCTTGGTTTACCAACATTATCCCCTCCATTTTTCGGGAAACTGTCGCCTAATCCGTCACCATCTCTATATCAACTTCATTACAATCACAGATTTCTATATGACTACTAGACTGCTAATTCCCTTATATAGTGCATATATGTAATACTACTATATTGCTAATCGCCCTATGCTACTTATAAGAGGAGCTTGTCCCAGAATGGAAGGACAGACGATGTCCGAGGAGTGTATTTTGACCGTAATGCGCAGGCGCGGCGATTAGATGATGTTATATATATATATAAAGTAAAAGTGCCAGTGTGTGACATGTACCTAACCTGGATAGCTGCTTCTTTACGTGTGTAAACTGATATTTTCATTTGCAGCTGCTTTTTTTTATTACATGCAACTGAGTGTACAATATATTTTATTTTATCATTGGCGGATATGATCTATCTGACGCATGCGCATAACGTTCATAATACATTCAGAAAGAGAGAGAAATATATATTCCCGCACCGTGGTTCTGGGGCCGGACTTCTCTCTCCATTAGCAATATAGTAGTATTACATATATGATATAGTGCTATGTAAAATTGATCCCGAAAAGTATGTATCACACGCACGGGAGAAAAAGCATCTGCGCATGCTTGAAACTGGTGTTCCAGAAGAAGAGGGGATATAAATGTAATATTGCTGATGCCGCCTGTTTAAATATTTATATACGTACAGAGTGAAGAACATCAGAGTGAAATACATTACAGTAAAAAATTTGTAAAAATAAGTGATTAATTAATTGTATACTTACATCAGAGTGCAATAATGCCTAAAACGAGATGCTACATTGTGAATGTTGGACCACCAGATAGACGCATGCGCGAGATTCTGTATATATTTTCCGGGGTTATATACTGAGTAGAGAACCTCTAGTACAGAGAATCGCCAACTTAGTCATGTGACCAGCTGATTGGTTGGCATAAATATATACGGATTTAGACATTGCGACGCCAATGCAAAACAAATGCTTATATATATAGTTTTGCATCGGCGTCGCAATGTCCAAATCCGTACATATTTATGCCAGCCAATTGCAGAGTAGTTGAGTAGCTGGTCACATGACCAAGTTGGCGATTCTCTGTACTAGAGCTTCTCTAGCACTGAGTCGAAGTTAGTAATCTAGATTGCGTTCCGAAATTCACTACCAGTACTAAAATTATATAATTTACGTAACATGAACTATAGATTTTCAGTACTGGCAGTGCATTTCGGAACACAGCCCTAGTAGTATATAGAAGTCTGTGATTACAATACGGGAGCGTCCCGATTGACCACGGTACGATTGGACACAACCAACCGATGAAAAGAATTATCTAGTGAATTACTAGGTCGAACCAATCATTACAATCTGTGTCCAATCGTGGTCAATCGGGTCAATCGGGTCCCACCCTTACAATACATATAATTATTCCCCTCATCCCTTGAGCTTCATCCCCGCGACAATTCGCACCGTCCATGTATTCTTATATCCATGATTGGAGCATTCTTTTAGATTCTTAATATATCCAGAAATACATACCAATCAGGAATGATAATCATTAAGCGCTCTCTGAATTACTCTTTCCGCTGAATATATCTATTATGTTCGATATCTTCTTCTTTTTCTGATTATTTTACTTGAGCTCAGACTTATTTCTATTGCCTATTCATTCAAGATATCTTGTCTATTCATCTGAAGTACCTTGAATTCCAAAAAATCACAGTTTGGAACGTGTTCGAACACGTCTCAACGTTACGGCGGTTAAGCCGAAACTCATACGTACGCGAATTTATTTATAGCTCATGTTAAGGCTGTTCTACAATTGTGTAAACATGATGTGAACATAAAAGCCAACGAATCCAAGTGTTTTATTCACTGGTTGCTTTATTCTAACTAGTTGTTGTAATATGTATTGTAGAAAATGCGCGGATAATGCGTGAAACAAAACGCAGTGTCTAGAGGAACTCTAGAACGAGAAATTGAGATCGTTATACTACTAATATATCAGATGCATCTTCATTTTATCAAATAGTATTACTCAACAACAGATCAGACGTCTTTTTATTCATTTTTTAAAAATAAGCAGAATTTAGTGGGTTATAATTTTGACATAAATAACGCTATTGGAATTATTAAAAAAGTAAATTGAAATCTCCAATTATTAACCATATTAATAAGATAGTATTCTCGTTTTTTTTTCATTAAGATATATCATGTTTAATGAAAAATGGCTTTTGTTCTATTTATAACTTTATTTTGCAGTTGAGTATATGAGTATATGAAAATTGAGTTTAATTTCGGCTCGCTTGCACAAATGTTATTTTAGTTTTAAGCAAGACTTAAATATATATTTGTCTTTATTTATTTAAAAAGAGAGATAAACATAGACACATGTTTAAGTCTCGCTTAAAATTAACATAATGTTGGTACAACCGGGCTTTAATCGTTTACACGATGCTATCGAATGCCGTTTCAGTCGAAAACGTTACTAGAGAAGAATTACGAATAGCATGCGCGGCGCGGCGCGCACAGATCCGGCGTACGGATAAATAATTATCAAGTTGTTATCGTGGTGGGATTCTCGACGCCGGTCAAAGTGTTCGGAGTTTGGACTTGTTGAAAATATTCGTTAAGTGAACGCTTCTCAGTTTTGCTTCCGCCTGATGATGGAAACACAGACGAAGGCAATCGCAGAACTTCGTGAGAAATTTCACAAGAAATTAAACGACGAAGGTCCGCCTGATCCTAGTGAGTATATGCAGCACTATTTTTTGAAGTACTGAAAATGATCTGTCATTGCGTTATACAGCACACTGTATTAAAAATCGTCGCAATACGTAACGATTTAATATATGTGGTGTGTGCAAAGGTCATCGTTAACCAGCCCATCGCGTATTCAATTAAAAACAATTAGCACTGTAGTTGACGCAATAAAAAATTGGATGACTTGAATTTCTTCGTATTAATTGTTTATCGAATTACGCAATACAATGCAAACGCATTTGCAAAGCGTGTTGCTGTTCATTTTTACACACTGCATGATATTATCTAATTAGTGTTTTTTGCAGAAGGTTTTCATTCTGCAGATATAGCCAGAATAAACAGCAACGATGATTGGCTAAAGAGATTCTTAGAACACCATGAATTTAACATGCAAGAGGCATTCAATATGCTGTGGGAAACTTGTACTTGGAGGAGAAAAATTGGAGCAAATGGTAAAATTATCTTATTTAACTTGATCATCTTGCTTAACTTAATCTATAAGTATATTTGTCAAATATTCCATTTATCCATTTTGTCATTATTTTTTATATAGAGATGATAAAGCATATTCTGGACAATCTATGTCTATGTTAATTTGAATAATATAATATTGATAAAGTAAGATCAAGCAAAGAAAGCATTTTATATATATATATATATATATTTATTTATTTATTTATTTATTTACTTCAGCTATATTGCCAAGAAGGGGCTTGGTCTACAATCATATCTTAACCACACTCATTCATCCATTCCTCTTATTCTAAGACCTGTGTGAAGAGAAGAAAGGAAACGACACTTCTTATCCTATTAAATCACAATATATCACAATGTATCACAATGTATCACAATATGTCCTATTATTATTATTTTGTTTTATACAGTCTACAAAAATTCTATCTTATACCTTATACATTTGCGTTTTCTTTTAATATTTATATCTATTTCTTCTGCTTACCAAATGTTCCTCTACCTACATATTCTTATCTCTACCTACTTAAACTAACTCTATTTCAATTCACATAAGTGCTTTTAACCTTAATTTATCTTATATATACTTAACCTACCTGACCATGCTTATCATTTATTTATTTTTTCTTTAATCTCCTTCAACCTCTTTTCTCTTTCCCTCTATAGCTTTTTTATTATATTATCTTTTAGACTTCATCTAACTCCTCATCCAACTCCTCATCCCACACACACACACATAGCTTATCCAATTTTTTCTTACTACCAGTATTTAAATCATTGAACCAATCCTTTGTGTTGACATATAATGCCTTATATAATTCTGACTAATCCCACAAAAAACATTTCTTATTATCCTCCTCCAACCAATATACCTCCAATTTATTTATATCTTCCATATTGCCATACTTCAATTTAACCAAGGCTTTTATCTCATCTCCTATCTGTAACTTGGTTAAATTTTTCTTCATCAAATAATTCGACCTACTTCCATTGATTTTTATTTCTTTATATCCTTTATTATATTTCATGTTTTCAATTCTGCCTTCCTCCCATTACTCTCTCTCTCTTCTGCAGATTTTTTTCTTTTATTTCTTTTCCTAAATCCATTCTTTCATTTCTTAAGTCCTTTAACACTTCTATTCCTTATCCATCCCTATTATAAAACTTTTTTCTCTCTTTTCCATATATATCTACCCACTTTCCTTCCTCTTTCTCTCTCCAACATTTTTTTTTACTAACCTTTCCTTCTTACTCTTTAACACCTTACCTTCAAATCTCATTGCTCTAATATCCCACTCTATTAAGACACATTTATAGAGGCCATAACCGTTAACTTATGTTATAATCCATAAGAAATGGATCAATTGCAATTGACTATTTTTGTAATAATCGATTGCAATTGGTCAATTTCTTATGGATTACAGCATAAGTTAACGGTTATAGCCTTCATAAATAGGTCTTAAGTTTATCCATCATCACTTCGGAAAGTATTTTTTAAGTATTTTATTTATAATATTACCTGATCGTAGATATCAATGAAGATAATGTAAAAAGAGAATATTTAGAAGATGGGTCCTGCTTTAGCTTTGGTAAAGATAAAGATGGAAAGAAACTTTTTATTATCAAATCAAAGTTGCACTTTAAAGGAGTAAAAGATTTTACAGAGATTCAGAGATGCATAGTTTACTGGTTTGAGAGACTAGAAAGGTATAGTATACATATCTTTTTAACTTTATGTAAGGATAAGAAATGTATACGCAACTGATTTATTGGTTCATCAATTTTTATATATTTTGCTATATTTTTTTAGAGAAACTAATGGAAATCAGATATCGATCTTTTTCGATATGGCAGAAGCTGGACTCTCTAATTTAGATATGGAGTTTACTAAGTACCTCATTGGTTTATTCAAGTCTTATTATCCGAACTTCCTAAACTACATCATAATCTTTGATATGCCATGGGTGTTAAATGCAGCTTTCAAAATCATAAAATCATGGTTACCTGCTAAAGCAATTCCAAAAATTAAGTTTGTTAACAAATCCACATTAAAAGAGTTTGTCGATTCTAATGATGCTCTTAAATGTTGGGGTGGTAATAACGATTACACCTTCGTATTTGTCCCAGAAGTACAAACCAATGAAGATGCATTGAATGGTAAATTGGATAATAAGAAGGTATACATATTACATAGTACATTTTTTACTAAAGCCAGAAACACTAGAGTCAATTCTGTATTTCGAAACGAAGTGAAAATTACAAAAGTGAGCACATTCACTAGGCACTGACCAATGAAATTACGAATATTCTAGTATATTTGCTCACTTTTGTAATTTTCATTTCGTTTCGAGATACAGAATCGACTCCACTGTGCATGATTTCACGCTTTCTGATATACATACTGACTCAGTTCACTCCATAGATCTTCCAATGTACGATAGTAATAAACTAAACTGCCAATCAGCATGCATGTAAGGAAATTCGTAAGGGCCTCCGCACAAAAACGTCCGTAACATGTTATTTTAATTTAAGAACTTATCACACACAAAGAAATTCGTTATGAAAGTTCTTCCTTACGTTACGAATTTCTTTGTGCGTGACGTAAGTTTATTCTTAAGTTAATGTAATATGTTATGAACGTTCTTGTGCGGAGACCTTAAGAAGGCATAAATCGTACATCGTGTGATTCTAACTTAAGGTTTTGTGTTATTATATATAAAAAAAAAACAAACAAATGATTATATTCTTTTGTTCGTGTATATATTAGGTTAACTTCATGATTTCTTTGTCGTTTTTCTGTAATCCATTCTGTTATATTATTTTACAAGAAGCAAATTAAAAATAGAAGACCTTGTTAGTTTGTTCTCTTTGTGACGTTTCTTTAAAGTATAGTAATTCATATAAAAGACTGAACAACATGAAGTGCATACAAGAGGAGGTATATCGAGTTATTAATATTTATTGGAAATTTATCTTGTTTCTCTTTTGGTCAATGTTTTTTAGGTACATTTCGCAGAAGGTTCACCACTAACAGAACAAAGCCCATGTAATTTTGGAGAAACTGATGAAGAACAATGTAAGTATAAAATTTATAGCAGAATTATATTCATAAAAATATGCTATATTCTTTGTGATAATATAGAGCATAAAATATAGAGCGCAATATTAAGTACATTTCTTTGTTCTAGTATTATCTGTAGAACCCGATGCAATTATATTTAATAAAGATGGAAAAGAAATCATTGGAGTAATTATACTTAAAAATATAACAACTGACAAGATTTTATCATATAAGGTATATATTACTTTATTATATATTTATATATTATAAGTATTATACAAGTATCAAAGTAAGTTTATTAGGAAACTTGTATTAGCATGTATTAGAAGCATATATTCTTGTAGGTTATAACACAAATATAATACTTTGTAGATAAAGACAACATCTCCTGAGAAATTCAGAGTACGACCAAGTTCAGGACTTCTGCAACCATCTGAACAGAAAAGTATTACAGTTGTATTGCAACCTGGCTATGATGTACGTGGTCTGTTGCACAATGATCGATTTCTAGTCATGTGCCTTCCTGTAAAGAATGCAGATATTACAGCGCAAGATTTGCACACACTTTGGAAGGTAAGTCAGCTTTTATTCTTTTATATACATTGGGTTTAAACATAACAACACTCTCTTTATTTCTCACATATAAATATGATCAATACTAATGTTATATGCTATTTCTTTGTAGTCTGTAAAATCTACAGAACAACATAAACTAAAATGTTGCGATGGTACTGAAAATAATGAAACACAAAAATCTCAATCAATATTAACCTCTAATGGAGCGGGAAATGATCGACATATTGATGCATTTTTTTCTAAGGTATGAAAGTTAACATTTTTTTTATATTTGAACGAATAATATGTATGCACATAACATATATGAATGAAGTTAAAACGTCGATTACACATTGATAATTGCAGATGGATCATTTAGAAAATATTTACCACAAGCTACACAATAAGATCCAGACATTGAAGTATATGTTTCTTATTTGTATGCTAACAATAATTTTAATTGCACTGGTAACACTTTACACTTTAAAAAATGATATCAAAGAATCAATAGATCGTCTGCACGATGATATTAAAGAGACGATGTACCAACAAGAGTGCCATATGGGTCGCGGTATATAAAATATATATTTGTAACATCAATGTTGATGTATAAGAAAAATTTTAAAACTACTTTTTCATGGGAATTTTATATTTTTTACATAGTTGCTACGATCAAGTATTTCTTTTCTTTGTAATAATCTGTAAATGTGTACTAGTTAGTTTTATATTTTGTTTCATAATGGTTCAGATATATGCACACGTTATCCTAATAAGTTACCATAGTGTTCTATAAACATATAAAGAGGCGCATTATTACAATCTATTAAATTTATGATACTATAAGACTAACATTAAAAACTATTTTTGTAAATTTTTATACATATTTTCTATGAACTGTCCTGATTGTATTAAACTTGTATGCGAATTAGTGAGTGAGTGTGTGTGTGTGTGTGCGTGGTGTGTATAAATACGTAGAAAGAAAAAAGATTTTGTATATACATCTTCAAAATTTTACTTTTAATATTGTATTTAATAATTGGCGTGGCTTGTTAAATCGCTTTATAGTTAACTATTCATAAATGATTTTAAAAAGAAAATAATATAGTCTAATACAAGAATATTGTCTGCGTACAATTGAAAGGAAAATTATCAATTTGTGAAAAATCAATGATATTTATAAAATATATATTCTAAGTACCAGGGTGCATTCATTTAATAAATATAAAATTTGTTTCACCCACATCTTGTAATTTTCTATGTTGGTCCTTCCCCACTGTTTTTATAAAAATCGGCATTTTACATACGATATTGTTTGTTCCTTAATTTTTTCAATAACGTATATGTATGAACTGAAATTATAAAATAATTTTATATTTGTAAAAAAACTGATGTTGCATATGCAACACAGCAAGTCTTTCCTTTTCATACAGCCCTAATTTCCCGCCCTTTTTGTATGACGTCATTTTTTTCCAGTTCACATCCTGTATGCACGTACTGTTCGAGAGTTAAATCGTTTGCACCGCGTCGTAATACATCTCGATTTATCTCGCTAGACTATCTTGCGCGAAAATGTATATCATATATATACACATATATATATACGCATACATATGTATATATATATAGTCTAATTCCAAATAAGAGTCGCAAAGGTATGATTCACCGGGATAAGTAGCGGCGATCCGGGACTTGGGACCCGGAAATACCAGAAACGGCTATCGCGCAGCATAAACACACGAGTGACGCGCGATGTGCTAGTGCGCAGCTGCAACGCGCAGCACAGCGCAGCATTTGAACCTTCGCAGTTCGATCGGCCATATTGGCTCTTACACAACGCCCTCACGCGAAAGATCGTGGGTTTACTCCAGGTAAGTGATTATTTCGAGTGTTGCGTTAGCTGGTCGGCACGCGTTACACGCGCAGTTGGTTCGCACAGTGACGAACGGTAAGTTCCTGCGACGGCTCGCCGGCCGAACAGTCCGGAACGGCCAGGGTGATCGGTTGCAACCGAACGACACGCGGCGGAATGGCACGGCATCGTCGTCGCTCCTGTCCTCCATATTGATGACAGCGCCGACGGTGATAATTTTCTGAAATTTTTGTCGTTAATGCCCCCTGTGTCCTGAAATCGAAAGCACCCGCGTTGTCTTAAAAGCTCCCCGACAGAATGCGCAACCTCGAGGGCTCCGCCGTGTACTACAAGAGTCCGCGATTACGGTGCCCCCCAGGTACCCGCCCGCGTGTCTCCACGCACTTTCGACATCACCTCGTCCTCGCGCTTTGTCTCGTCTCGCCTCGCCTTGCCCGGCCGTCCGTCACGTCACGACGCGCACGCCTCGCTCATGGCGTCTTAGCTCGCCGCTTGTCGTCGTCTCTCAGCGCCCCGCTGGTCGCTTCGCGCGTCTTATAGCGCGCGTCACCGCCGTGGCGCACCACGTCGATCGTGATCGTTGCGCTCCTCTGACGATCAAACACACCTGATTGACGCGCGCGCCCCGAGGGACGCCGAGAAGCCAACGCGTCGCCGTCGCGGCGATTTGGGTGGCCGGGATGCTGCTCCTCCTCGCCGTCGCCGTCGCCGTCGCCGTCGCTCACTCGATCCGCAAACGTCGAGCCCGTGCCGCGGCGCGAGTTTCTTACCCGCCGTAATCGCCATAATAGCCACTTTATTGATTTTTTTCTTTAATTTCGGCTTTCTTAAAAAATCGGGTCACAGCACCCGACAGCACGGCCTGATGTACCTCGCTGTTAAGAGATCGTGTCTCGTTCGTGCTACTGTTATTCGTGGGTGTGCAATGGTGACGCGTGGACGAGCGTCGGGTATCCTGGAGAGACGAGGAAAGAGCGATATGCGTGTTGACCCGCGAGCATATGCTTTCAGACCTGATGACGATCGAAATGATCTGTTTTGCAGACGCGTTTTCGCCGCGATGTAGACTCACGGCGTTCATGTATGCATGCTTTTTCTAGTTTCCAACGCATGAAAGTTTGAAGCAGCGCGAGTTGTTTCCGTTGTCTGTCGCGTCGCAAGCAACTTGCTGTGCAAAAAGAATTCCAATGGATCACGTTTCGTTTTGTAAACTTTTAAGTAGAGTGTCTGAATGATGGTAAATTTGTAAGATAATATGTATTACACATGCAATACAGCGTATACTTGACATTGCCAATTTTATATTTAGAGTTGTTGATCCTGAGTTATATACATTAACGTGTTGATTTGCATTTATAGAGGTAGCTTAAGGATATATTTCTGAATTGTACTTTGATCATATGTTACTAATGTGCTTGTTACAGATTAATGAGTATAGATACTGTTGTATGAAGTGACTATTTCAACCATGACGAGTAATGTAGCAACTATAAAACTGGAAGAGGGACAAGAGTCTGTTACGGAAATACAAACTTACTTGGAGACTTTCAATAAAGAGATAGAAGGTGGACAGGGAGAACAGTTGCAACATGTGCAATGTTTGTTTTTTGGGGTTTTCAAATAGTTCTCTCATGGTTATTTGATTCGAGCAATGTTTTATTCATACATATTTTTTGACAGTACAACAAGTGGAGGGACTGTCTGGTGGAGAAGAAGGTGGGACATACTTTGTGGATCAGTCTGGGCAGTATTACTATCAGGCTAACAGTGATGAAACACCTGTGATGACACAAGTGCAAATACAAGAAGTAGAAGAATCTGATGTACAAAATGAAGGTGAAGTAGTTCAAGAGGAACAATATCATGAGATTGAAGAGCTTGAGAATGTCGAAGGTGAAGAGGAGGTAAGCTAATACTAAAATTTTTGTTTAAACGTAACTATGCCGTTGAAATATAAAAAAGTATGTTTTGATTGCCAGAAAACTATTAACTTCAATTTATTATTTCAGCTTATTATATACTATTAATTTAAAAAAATACTAATTACAGGCCCAAGTATCTAACACTGAAAGCAATCAAGTTGTAATTAATTCTGGTGATGCATATCAAACTGTCACGATTGTACCATCCGATACAAATCCTGGGGAAGTCAGTTATGTCCTGATAGTTCAGCAACCTGAATCTGAAGATAAAGATGCTAGGCCTGCAGAAGCCGAAGCAGCAGAGGGAGAGGAAGGAGAGGGCGAACAGGATCTGACTGTGTATGACTTTGAAGATAATGAAGACAATGAAGCTCCAGTAGAGTCTGAAGCTGAAGATGATAAAACTAAAGTTGTGAAATTCCTTCCAAAGAAATCTCAAACTGTCACACAAGCACACATGTGCAACTACTGCAATTACACGAGTCCAAAACGGTATAGTTTTTAGTATTTTTCTATGTTTATACATTATCATTATCTAGATTATCTCCGGATATATTATATTTATATTTATTCGTATTTATATAGAAAAATAGTAATAATAGTAATGTAAAATAGTAAAAGTAATGAAAATAGTAATGCAAAATAGTAAAAAATAAGAAAAGTAATTTATAGACAACACATTATGTAACAGATATCTTCTCTCGCGACACATGAAATCACATTCGGAAGAAAGGCCCCATAAGTGCAGTGTTTGTGAAAGAGGATTTAAAACCTTAGCTTCGTTACAGAATCACGTCAATACTCATACTGGGACCAAGCCTCATCATTGTAAATACTGTGACAGTGCGTTTACAACCTCAGGTAATCATCAGTTGCTAATTATTTTTTCTTTTCACACTTTATATGTATTCAATTGCACGTTGTGTACAATTTCCTTTGTACAATATTCCTTTGTACAATTTCAAAAGATTTCAATTATAAATTATCATGATATATAAAATATTCAAGTTTCTTTAATATCTTACATTAATATTATATTAAGTATTCAACTTCTTTTTTATATTTGTTCTTGTCATTTGTGTAATTGCATGTGTTGTATGTACCAACATGTTTTATTTCCTTTATAGTTTCTTCTAATTATTTACTTAATAACTTACTTTCCTCTATATGTTTTATATATTCTTTCTATTTGGATTTTCCTCATGTATTACTATTAGATAATAGAAATAATACTTATTTATTATAATGTTACCAACTTATATATTTTTTGCAATTATTTCTGTCTATATAAAAAAAAATTATATATAATATATAATAATAATATTATATACAACAGAATGTATTTAAAAATGCTCTCATAAATATGCTCTTATAAATATGGTATACATTAAGTAATATATTTTATGCATTAAAATAACAAACAAATAATAATTAATAGACATGTACAAAGAGATTTCTCATGCTTGATAAATTAACATTAACACAGGAAATACAAAATAATAAATAATAAATATAAAATATAACACATTTTCTCTGTTTCATGGCTCAATTGCTTTTCCATATTACAGAGCTTGACACACATTGCACGTTTGGGCTAATTTTCGATTTGCTTCATCTAGCGCTATTTCTCTTACCTCATCACTCCGCACGCAACCTGCGAGTTGCTCGAGACTCAGGAACGTATGACTTGTAAAATATTTGTTTCTAATAGTGGAAAGCTATAATATTGTTTACAAATTATATCCTGAGTCTCGTGCGACTCGTAGGCTGATCGATGAAGTATAATAGTGGGAATAGCATTGGACGCAGCGAAAATCAGCCGAAGTGTGTAACGCGTGCTGAGTTCTGGTATATACATTAAATACATATGCATTTAAAAATTGTTGTACTATTTTACAAATTATATAATAAGATAAGAATCTGCCATTTAATTAAACTAATTTTTTTGTTTATAAAAACAGAAATAGTGGAGAACTTGTATCTTTTACTTGCAGGTGAACTTGTGAGACATGTTCGGTACAGACACACCCATGAAAAACCACACAAATGTCACGAGTGTGACTATGCGTCGGTCGAGCTGTCGAAACTCAAGAGACATATTAGATGTCATACAGGAGAAAGACCTTATCAGGTATATTTTACTTTATTCTCTCTTTCTTTTTATATGTAGGCGAGTTGGTGCGTTATACACACTATAAACACACACGTGAAAAGTCATATAAGTGTACTATAGCAGATATTCATAGTATTCATAGTTAGATCTTATATTTAAGATTATCCTAAGTACTGTTTTAAGATATCATGAACCAAACACAGAGCTATATTCGCATCTTAAGACATTACTCAAGACAGTCTTGAAATAAGATTCGATTACATAGGTCCACAATTTAAAAAAAGTTGTCTGTGTTGGGGGTCTGACTAAGCCCAAAATACTATACGTATTTTGGACTGCTGAATCCAAATCCGGTGTCAGATTTGCTCCATCACCCTTGAGTTTCCCGGAAAATCGAGGAAATCGTGAAAAGGAGCAGATATCCATGTTTTTACGGAGACATGTTTCAAGGAGACATGTATTCAAGGAAAATTCTAGAGTGACGAATAACCCTATGACCCCACAACCAACGTTGAAAATACATTATGTACTTCAACATCTGATGACTAGAACAACCCAATAACCCATATACCATCATACATATTCGGTTTTAGTTCACCCATCAATCCTTTAACATTGCATAGATTAAAAAATCTAATCTGTGCGTGCCCTATCATAGTCACATTCATGTTATTATCCACAAGATATGGAGTCTTTTTTCTCATATTCATAGAATTGATATTCGAAATATCAATTCTACAATATATGATCGTCGATCAGATAAATCCTGCTGCTTCAGAGGATGTTAGAGACGATGACAACTGCCCCGTAAGGGAATGTATAGAATGATTCGTTTTCCATGTTAAAGTACATAATGTATTTTCAACGTTGGTTGTGGAGTTATTCGTCACTTTAGAATTTTTCTTGAATACATGTCTCCGTAAAAACCTGGATATCTGCTCCTTTTCACGATTTCCTCGATTTTCCGGTAAACTCAAAGGTGATGGAGCAAATCTGACACCGGATTTGGATTCAGCAGCCCAAACTACGTATAGTACACCTAGTCAGACCCCCAGCACAGACTTTTTTTAAATTGTGGGCCTGTGTTATGAATACCAACCTATATATGATATGCAAATGTAGAGAAGAATAAGTTATGTAATCACATACGCACACATACTGGCGAACGACCATACGCGGTTTATTTAATTACACAGTTTTTTATATTATATATCATGCTTAATTTAATTTATGGGTTTCTGCAGTGTTCTGTCAAATAATTGTTCTTGAAGTATAATATTTTCTTCAGATATATGTGAAAGGTATATATACATATATATTTTAGCCTCCTAGTTCCCCGCTGCAGAAGACTGCTCATAAACCGAAGACCTGATTGATGAAGAGAGAGAGAAAGTGATAAAAATTCTTAGCGTTAGAAGAGAGAAAGTGATAAAAATTCTTGCATTGAAATAAAAGGATATATTCATAAATGACCCTTGGGATCAATTGAGCGCACATGTACAATCTTCCGAAAACTTTCCCTTTGCTAACAATCAATAAATAACCGTAAAATGAATATAACTTTCCTTTGTAACAACCTACCTTTTCTTTGATTTTGTTACATTTATTTTATGGTCATTCATTAGTTATCAAGGTCATTGGGAAATTTTCAGATTGCTCAATCGATCACAAGTGTCATCCTTTATACACATTCTATGATGATGTACTTCGCAAGAGTTTTTGATATATGTTTTCTCTTTTTTTCTGATTTCATTAATCAATATGGTCGCGGCGAGGACACAGGAGAGCTTTAATAATCTTAAAGTATATTTAATTTTTATAGATTGCAACATTTAATTATTTTTTTCAGTGTCCACACTGTACATACGCAAGTCCAGATACGTTTAAATTGAAACGTCATCTTCGCATTCACACTGGAGAAAAACCGTATGAGTGTGATCTTTGTCCGGCGAGATTTACTCAATCCAACAGTTTGAAAGCTCATAAATTAATACATAATGGTAAATAATACATAACATGCATATGTAATATATATAATGAGAAAAAATTTAAAACCTATCTTTTTTTCTAAATCAATACATTTGATATATTATAGTTTTTTATTATACATGAATTTATTCAATATACTCAATAAACATTTCAGTAGGCGACAAACCAGTATTCCAATGCGAATTATGTCCAGCTACGTGTGGAAGAAAAACCGATCTCAGAATTCACGTGCAAAAGTTACACACTTCTGATAAACCTTTAAAATGCAAGCGTTGCGGAAAAACATTCCCAGATAGGTATGCAAATAATTAAGTAGATAATAAATTATGTCACAGAGTGATCAGTCGAATTGAATACAAAAATTACATGTATGTTTGCACTATATTTCCTTACATGTGTTAATTTGATTACAGATATAGCTATAAATTGCACAGTAAAACTCACGAGGGAGAGAAGTGTTACAAATGCGATCTGTGCCCGTATGCGTCGATATCGGCGCGTCATTTGGAAAGTCATATTCTTATTCATACTGACCAGAAACCGTACCAATGTGATCACTGCTTTCAGTCATTCAGGCAAAAGCAGTTACTCAAACGGCATTGCAATCTCTATCACAATCCTACTTACGTCCCTCCACCGCCACAGGAGAAAACTCATCAATGTCCCGAATGCATAAGAGCGTTTAGGTACATATCACGAAATCAATTATACAGGCCCACAATTTAAAAAAAGTTGTTTGTGCTGGGGGTCTGACTAGGTGTATTATACGTATTTTGGGCTGCTGAATTCAAATCCGGTGTCAGATTTGCTCCATCACCCTTGAGTTTCCCGGAAAATCGAGGAAATCGTAAAAAGGAGCAGATATCCAAGTTTTTACGGAGACATGTATTCAAGAAAAATTCTAGAGTGACGAATAACCCCATAACCCCACAACCAACGTTGTGAAAATACATTATGTACTTCAACATGGAAAACGAATCATTCTACACATCCCCTTATGGGGCAGTTGTCATCGTCTCCAACATCCTCTGAAGCAGCAGGATTTATCTGATCGACGATCATATATTGTAGAATTGATATTTCGAATAGCAAAAAGATTCCATCTCGTGGACAATAACATGAATGTGACCATGATAGGGCACGCACAGATTAGATTTTCTAATCTATGCGATGTTAAAGGATTGATGGGTGAACTAAAACCAAATGTGTATGATGGTATATGGGTTATTGGGTTATTGGGTTGTTCTAGTCATCAGATGTTGAAGTATATAATGTATTTTTAACGTTGGTTGTGGGGTTATAGGGTTATTCGTCACTCTAGAATTTTTCTTGAATACGTGTCTCCGTGGCCTGTGTTATTTGAAACAGCTATGCGTGATAAAATTGACTATTATTTCATGGTTTCTCTTGATAAAACCTGAAACTTCTGGTTGTTACATGCAGACATAAAGGAAATCTTATCCGACATATGGCTGTTCACGATCCCGAATCATCCCTGCAAGAAAAACAGCAAGCTCTTAAGATCGGTAGACAAAAAAAGATTCAGATTATTGACGGTCAGCGTGTCGAAGTAATGACAGGTAATGATAGCAGTAAGTGTTCGTTCAAAAGTTTATAAAAAATCCTAAAGAAATCACAATGTGTACGATGATTCGAGCCTCTATGCATCATTTATGAGTACTTTCGTATCAATATTCATCATGAATACAAAGTGGTTTCTTTACATTATTTCATTTTACATATTTAAATTTTATATATTTATGCGAAAGATAATATATAGAAATTTATATGTATATATAAACATTACACTCACAGGGACACTTACGATATGATCTAAATGCAGATCATTGACTAATATCCATGTGTTGTATGTTGTGACAACAGGTGATTTAGCTTCTAAACTTAAAGGTTACGAGGACGAAGAAGAAGAAGAGGATGAAGAAGATTCAATGATGGCGGTTCAAGGCAGCGATGGCCAACAATACGTCGTGCTAGAAGTAATCCAATTAGCGGACAATCAAGGAAGCGATCAGGTGAGCAATATGTAGAATTCATTTGTTTTTTATGTAGTATGTGGCTCAATAAATAGAGTCAGTTTATTTACTTAATTATTTCTAACAGATGGCTGTGGTCGCAAGTGAAGATGGTGAGTTGGTAATGCAAGATCCTTTAAGTCAAGAAAATAGCATAGTAACGGGGACAACAGAGGAGATCGATGAAGTAGAAGAAGATGAAGTAGAAATTCAAGAAATGAAAATAGAGGCCGTTACGAATAAATCTTCAACACAGAACGCACAAAGCGATCCAAAGTTGCAAAAGGAGATGGAAACCTGTTTCGGTTTCGATGAAGTGAGTAAATGCTTTAAATTTCGCATGAAGTATGTTTGAAAAACCGCCTATATCGGATAAAACGTACAACTTTGTTTAAACGAATGCACACATGACATATGCTACATATATTTTTTCTTTCTTCTTTCAGGAAGAAGAAGAAGAAGAGGAGGAAGAAGGTGGTAGTAATATAAACATGTTACAGGCAATTTCGTAATAACAAATACAAAAAGAATGTACCTACTTTATAGTCTAATGTTTTACTTTCTTCCCAGTGTAAGTGTACGTAAAAAAGAAAAAAAGCACCAAAAGATTGAGAGAGAAAGGCAAAGAAATTACATGCATGTTTATAGAAAAACTGTGAATGCAGTTTATCATTCAAAAATACTTTGCATAGCTCTCAGTGGAACTATTTTGCAAAAACATCGGGCCACATGTATGGTACAACTTCGTTTGCCACTAGTGCATTAGGTACACGTAATTATTTATAAAACTATTATAGTTTTGCGGTTTAGCAGAATATCAAGAAAAAAAGTGTACAATTATGATGTTGTAAAATATGATTTATGTTATCATTATTGAAAACTATTAACTCTTTACAAATGACATTAACACGTAAGTTAAGTCATATTACATATGATAGTATGTAGTAATAAGGAGAAATATATTTCTTAAATTAATATGCTTTAGTTTAGAAATATATTTAATAAGATGTCTTGGCATAATATTTTTAAATAAGTTTATTTAAAACTACGAAGAAAATAGAAGCTGGTCACGGTTTATATAAATGGAATTAATATTAATTTTGTTAAAGATAGTTAATAAAGATGAAACTAGGAAGAATAATACGAGGCTGCAATGTAAATAAATGCTTTCCGTCATATCTCAATATAGAGACCATTCTGAAGTTTCAGTGTAAAAAATATCGAGAAAGAAGTGATAAATTCGTTTATGTAAGAAGTATTTTATATTGTCTAATGTAAGCAACTTTTTTTATGTTAATAAGAAACTGGGATGAAATAGAGAGAATTACGAATCATAAGTTAAAATACGCTGGTTTCATAGATATAATAAGTTTACATATAAATATATATATATACATATATCTATTCTTCTACGTTATATATATATAACGTTTTCATTCGTAGTACAATTAGGAAGGAGGTAACGATTTGTTAGATAAAAACACTATGTAGTTTATCTTATTCTTCGATAAAACAATTTCAGTTTGCGACATTATAAATAATTATGTAATTCAACATAATTATATGTAATGATCTAATTGAAGTTATTTAGGCAACAGCTTGTGCATAAGATCATTGTGTGCAAACTTCTATGTGTATTATTTATATGATTCTTTTTATTATAGAATATATATTAAATGTGATTTGTAGGGAGAACAAATTCTTGCAAACTTACCGTTAGATTCACGCTCTGTATACTGTACTGTACTGTAATTACCGCGAGTTTTTTCACATCTTACACTAAACAGAATTGACAAGTCTTTGATATATGATAAATACGACTCTTTAATCACGACCTCGCACGTAGTGTTTCCAGTTTATTACGAAGGCATAGTGAATCCATCTGAGTGTTTTGAATATTCTGTCACTTTACGATAAGACATATGATAATGAGATATCGAATGAGAAGATGATAGAATTCTTTTTACATGAATACTATGCGCTTATGCCTTTATAGCTGGAAATATTACAGTTTTTCAGTAAAAATCGTTAGTTTTACATTTTTTAACATTTTATAGTAGATCAGTAATGGTATTCCGGATCAATAATATTTGTCGGTGTTCTATTTATGAGAAAATCGTTTATTGGAGAACTTTGTAGCAATCTTTTTTCAAATCTGCCGTGTATCGTTTAGTTGTACTAAACACAAAAAGATACATAAAGATGTTGCTTTGCTACTAATTGCTACTGTGTTAACTGCCGCAAATAATATTTCTTAGTAAGATACCGACACAAACGTTGTTAAAAGTAGTACGGAATATCTTTACGAATATGTTATACGTATGACGTTGTTTAAGATCCCACACTGGGTAAGAATAAAAAACAGTATGTAGTTAACGTTTATACACTGTTGCTCACAACAATAAGTTTGTCCTGCTTGTCCAAGATAAGCGCAATGAATATTGTAAAAAGTATGTACAATTTTTTTTACACGAATTGTACAATTGTAATTTAGCGACTTATATACGCTGTTTAAAGTTCTGCACTTTCTTACATTATCCCAAAGAAAAAAAAAGCGGTGTAGCATTTTCTCGATAATAAACGTTATGTCGTCGACAATATAATCATTTCAATTATTCAACGCGCTCATCCACGTTTATATTCTTAATACTTTGGGCACTTCTCGAGCTTTATCTAAAATATCGAGATTCATAGATTGACTTTTTATTTTACACATATTATCCGGAGGAAAATGTGCTTCAAACGCATTCATCGAGCGCCCGAATTTGTAATTTGATCTTTCCTTCCTATCGATGCTGTTTCAGGCTCGTCAACAAACGACGGCATTTACGAGCGTATATTTGCCTCCCCTATTAGTGTTATTAGAAAAGGCCACACCCAAGTGCACCCCTGGTCATCAACCTTATAGACGAGTCCCTTCGTCTCGTACGTAGGGACGTATTTAAAGCGTTAAAGCACGCAATGGATTGCGTGATCCGCGCTTCAATGGCGATATATATCGCTGTTTTCATGAAATCAATTAGAAACGACTGTATAAGAGTCAGCTCTTGCTATCGATTTGGTTTTGAACTTGAATTCTTTTTCGTTCTCACAAACCATTTTTACTAGTTCTATTCACGAGTCTTTTGCGAAAATATACCGCGTCGATAATAAATGCACGCGTCTGTAATAACAAAATAACAAAATAAAAAAACAACAAAATAACAAAATAAGAAATAACAAAATAACAAAATGGCTTTCTATGTATTAGCATTTGTGCTTTCACTCAGTTAAAAAAATCTCTCCCTAATACTCCCTAATACTCAGTTAAAAAAATCTTTCAATTATTAATACAGTTTCCAGTAAATTTATTAACGGAAACTTACGATAGTTTTCCAATTTTCTCAACATTGAATCAGAAATGTATATTAAACTTTATTGTGCATTATCTTCAAACCAAAATAAAATTTGGATTTTATTTTTTCATTGATAATAATATCGGAAAAATAAAATCCACATTTTTTTATATTTGCCTTTTTTACTGATAAAAATTTGATTTCACGATCTAAAAATCGTGAACTAAAACGACAGATAATAACTTATTTCGATGTGTCGAACGTATTTTTAGTAAAGTGCAGCTTGGTTCGCGGATTTAATTCAAGAGAAAGCAATAGCAAAACAGATGTACTAAGAATAATTCGTCGAAAGTCCCACTTTTTTTAATATTAGAATTTTTCTCAGTTGACGGCGTTATTTGCGAAAGATTGAAGAATCGTGCCTGCATGCGAGTACTTTTGATTTATAGCAGGGGACATTACGGCGATTCTTTCGTTCTCTAATCGGTCGATAGGCTCACGCCTCCTATCATTTGTATTCCTCGCGCGCGTCCGTAGGATGTAATAATAATCTCCCTTTCTCGAAGGAATGCCGGATGAAAGCGGATGTAACAATACGTGCATAATATCGGGCGCATAGCGGCGATTACGTGCAAACACGTCGGACAAGTTCCAGACGCGAATTGGCTTCGCTTTTCTGCGCCAACTGATTCTGAGACCGGACGATTCGGAATCCGATAGAGACGCGTGGTGATCGTAAATACGAAAAGCCAAGCTGAGATACGTGTCCGTGCATATGTGTTACTAGCTTTTCAGCAACCGTCACTTTATGGCGCTTACGCACATACGACTTATCTGTTCGTTACAACACACGCTATCATAATAACGAGTTGGCGTATATTTTTCCACCGGGATGTTGGATAACGGCATATAGGTTCGCATTGTTTTTCTATTCATTTGTATAGAATTGCAAATGCTTTTACAGAATAGAAATATATCGAGAAAATATTGTAGCGAAAATTATGTTAAGATTGGATTTCTTTTTGTCCTTTGTAAAGTTGGACTGAAATTGTAGTTTAAATTACCAAGAAAGTAAATTTGACGATCTACTGAATACGATAAAAAAAAAACATTTAAGTAATTGTAATAATTTTATAGTTTTGCTCATAATTCTGCTGCGATATGAAGTTATAAAAATTTTGTCATAATTTTTACTACAATATTTTTTCTTTGTCAATGCATAGAAAATCACTAAATATTGTATAAAAAACAAAAATTGTAAATAACCAATTTTTTTGTTTTTTTTTTATACAATATTTGGTGTCTTTCTATGTATTAACTTTTGTGCTTTCACTCTATGAAAACATTTCTTTTGAGAAAGAAAATTATATTTTGTGTTCCCTAATATTCAGTTAAAAAAATTTTTCAATTATTAACACGGTCTCTAGCAAATTTATTAACAGGAGTTTACGATAGTTTTCCAATTTTCTCAACATTAGATCAGGAATGTATATTACACTTTATTGTGTATTATCTTCAAACCAAAACGCGCAGATGAATTAATACTTAACATTCCCGATTTAATTTTGAAACGAAGAATTTAGACGATTTATCGAAATTTGCACGTTATGATAATTTATTTTCTTTTATTTTTTATCGAACACATTTTGATGAGCGGAAGACGTATCGTTTCTACATACTCCGGAAGTTTCTGGCGTTCTCGCTCGTTCTTCTTTCCGCTTTCGCTTCATTGGGCGTTATCGAGGGGCGAGTGTTTTGATTAAGAAGAGTGAAAGCGCTCGGTCGTCGGTCGGTCGGTCGGCCGGTCAAAAGGTCGCAACGTTAAGAACGATTTACGGTAACTCCATTTCGACCGAGAGATAATCTCCAGGCCGACAGCGCATACATACTACTGTCGACAAACGAAACGGACACGGGGACAAATGGACATGGCGCACAGGATACAAGGCCCACGCGTATGCACTCTCTTCGCCTCCCACGGTCTTTACCTCGACGCGGAGAGCGCGACGCGATGCCGACTGTACATGTACGTAGGTGAAGACGTTGCGAATCAGCTGGATATCCCGCGTCAGGCGGACCTGGTCGAGGAAGGCTACACTTTTCGATCCGGAACTCTCGCGTTGACCCAAATCATCAAGCGCGTCGCGCCGAAAGCGAACTCACTCACAAGAGTCGTGTGTAGGGCGTATCTTTACGTATCGTGAGGTAAAAGTACCAATTCCTGGACACGTATCAGATCCTTTTTGGTTTGACATTTTTAGTGTTTCGATCTTTAACAACGTATATATATAAACCGAGCATTCCTATACTTCTGGGTAGCGATCATGAATCTTTCACGTGAACTTCATTTTCATTTTTCACTTTTTACTGTAAGTTATTTCACATGAAAAGTGAATAATGAAAATGTGGAAAGCAATATTTATGTAATATAGATTATTAAAATTAAAATGTAATTACAGTATACACAATGTAATATATAACATATTAATATGCATTATACAACTTAAATTTATAGTTATAATATAATATAATAATACAATGTGAATAAATTTAATAAATGAGACGAATGTTAACCGTGAAAGGTGAATTTTCAAAACGTGAAATATTTCACGTGAACTTTCAGTTTGCTCGTATATGTTCTTCTTTACATGTAAATTGTGTAAGTTTCCATGAAAATTTTTAAGCATCAAGTGATGTGGTTTAAATATGAAAAATAATGTAATACTACACTCGCATATTATGTACAAAGTGAGTAGAATTTCTTATAGTGACTTTAATTTTTATGGTTATACGACAATTGGCATTTGACATAAGAATCCTACGTGCATTAAAAATGAACAACGAAAGCCAAATGAAGCGTGATGACGTATAGGCAGTAAAAGCATACCGACGAAGTTTGCAAAGTTAAGATACGTATGTATCTTTGTATGTATCGGTTTTCATCTTTCACGGGTTCATTACAAAATTTTCACTTTTCACGAGTTCACACTAGGGGAAAAGATTCATGATCGCTACCCTGCTGTAGCAGCGAGTGAAGCCGGAAGTTGGCAGTTTAAAACAGAGTGAGAAAGTTGATTTGCCCCTAGTGCTTTCTTATTCTATCGTATAGAAAGAATATGACCGCTGTCAAGCTGTCAAGTGCTATATATAATTTAGTGCAGAATTAAAAGAATAAAACCGTATATTTCATTTATCTCGACGTAAAATTGATATTTATAATATTTTATGCTGTGCATAAAGAATCACAGCAATTGCTCTTATCCTGTTCTTATTCCACTGTCAAATGAAAAAAGTTAGGTTATGCTATGACGAGATATACTTCTTGGATAAGGTTTAGTGCTGTAAGTAGTTCCATTTAGTGCTATAAATACTTCAGAGCTACGAATGGATCAATCATATTACTTTATTTAATGTTTTAAAGTATTTGCAGAGTTAAACGGGCCCTTCTTGACAGTCAATAATATAGAGTGAGAAAGCACTAAGGGCAAATCAACTTTCTCACTCTGTTTTAAACTGTCAACTTCCGGCTTCACTTTGCGGACAGAATGTTTGATCTCCCAGATAGCACAAGAGAACTTCTGAGAACGTTCCAGGGACATTCTGAGGATATTGAGACGTCCTCAAAACGTACTCAAGACATCCTCGGGATATCTGTGCTGTTAGGGCTGTA